AAGGGAGAAAATGCTCCCCTTTGAGAAAGGAAGAAGGTAGGCAGAGGAAGAAGGCCAGGGGACAGAGGGGGCAGGGGAGAAGGTCCAAGGAGGATGTGGTCAGGAGCGAGAAGTTGCAGAAGGGGCAAGAGAGAGAAAGTTTACAGAGTGTCCTCTGGGCTAGTAGCAAATAGGGTGTCTGCAGAGTGTGGGGCTGGGGCATGGGTAGCAACTGTCAATCCTTCCAGGAATCTGCTCCTGCAAGGGACAATGGAGGGGAAGTTGTTGGCATGGCAGGTGGCTGAGATCACTGATTGGGACTCCAGGAAGGGTTCCCTGGCCCAGGGAATGGGTTCTTTAGAGAAAGATTCTGGCTTCCCTGGGGCCTTGGGGTAGGGGTGGATCTAAGGCTGCCTGGGCTGTATGCCAACTGGAGGGTGGGGATCCCTCAGGAAGGTGTTTTTGTAGGGTAGGAGAGGATAAGTAACTGATGACAAAAAAGGAGAAAGGAGAGGTGAGCACCTGGAGGGAAGAGGCTTGGAATAGAGAGCCATCAGGGGCCCCTGGAAGACTGGGCTAGTGGCTGGGCAGCTCCCCACAGCAGGGCAGTGGATGCCTGGACTTGTACCATCACAGATATCACTCCAGCTGGGCCCAACCTCCTGGATGGGAACAGGAGCAGAAGAGCTGACCGTGGCCTGGACTGGGAGGTTCAGCAGAAAAGCTGGGGACAGTGAGGATCTGGGGCCTAGTACAGCCTCCCTCAGGGAGCAAAGGGGGGCCTGGTGAGCTGAGGGTCTGACTTCCCCCTCTGATTAGCAGGTGAAGCTTCCAGGCCCATACTGATCTACCTTAGGGAGACAAAGCCTGGGTTCTGTGGCTCTGGCTCTGAACCTGGGAGGCACACATTACAATCACAGGGGAAGACTGGCTAAGACACCAAGCAAAGAGGAGCCACATTGCATAGCTGGATCTCTTGTGCCTCACAGAAGAGATATATCTAGCTAATTCTTGTAACTCTTCTGGATAGCTAATAACTAGGTGGTTTGTGGAGCTGAGAGAGGCTTTTTTCTTTGAGATAGTTTCACTATGTTACTCTTGGTAGAGTGCCGTGGTATGAAGCTCATAGCAACCTCAAACTCTTGGGCTTAAGCAATTCTCTTGCCTCAGCCTCCCAAGTAGCTGGGACTATGGCCAGCTATTTTGTTGCTGTAGTTGTCATTGTTGTGTGGCAGGCCTAGCCTGGGTTTGAAC